CATAGCTTTTGATGAAAAAGCTTTTTTTTTTTTTTTTTGGTAGCATGGTGTATGTATGAAATTTACCAGCAGGCTGTTCATGATTTCGGATTTGTAAAAATATACACATTACAGAGCAGTACTGATTAACATAATAATTGCACAACATAAACACTGTAATCATTTAACAGATAACTCAATGGAAATTCTTGAAAACTCCTGTGAAGCAAGAAAGAGCACACTTATTAGTGAATAAAACCCATTGTCATTTATCTCAAGTAAACATCAGCATCAAGCAATCAGATGATACTGATCCCAGACGCCCTTGCATGACCTGTCAATCTCATCATAAGGATGTTAATATGTTGACTGATATTTACTGCATGGCAGTTAGCTTAATATATGTACATGTAGCACAATTATGGTATGTTGTGTAGTTCTGTTCTTCCGGTTTCCACTGAGGCGATCAATCAAAATCTGATTAAATCTGGTGTCATCATTAGATTTTATGGCTGAGCTACTGATACAACATACTAAACATGCAAATTCATTACAATTCTTTTATATTTACTGACAACAGGATTAAACTGCAAAATGCAAAAGCAGTTAGATTAGATTCCCAATCAAAAGTCTTTCCTACAGAAAAGGAAGGACTAATTTTGACCACAGAAAAGGTCTGTTTTGATGAATGGTCCCAATCAACAGAATTTATCTGGAAGTTGAGGAGGGATTATTGAATTTTAAGCCTTTGTAGAATTGTAATTAACTTTCTCTTTACCCAGAAAACGGTTTTCCTCAGTCAGTGTGGTTCAATAATCCAGCCACCCATGTAATAAGATGTTCATTACGAAATTGTACATTTCACGCTCCTCTTTTATTTAGAGCAACTTCTGTGCTCTGTCTGTAAGAGTGAGGCTTGAAGCTAAAGAGAATATCAGATATACCAGGGCAAAGGTAATATAACTTCCAATTGAGAAACTGGTCTTTGATTGATTGAGTACATGTGTGTTGATATGTGAGGAATCGTATATAAAGAGTAAATGTTTTAAAAAAAAATTGTATTTCAATTGCACTAAGCGCTTTATTTTTTTGCACTATAAATAAAGACTGCTAGTATCTCTCCTTTTTAGATACACAGTAAATGATTTTCAAGTATTGAGTTTTTCACTCTCTTTGGAGGAATTAGTAATCTTTTAGGGCAGTTTGTTCAAAAAAGTAAATAAAAGCAAAACCTCAGGGAGGAATTCACTAGGAAAATCAAACTAAATTATGCAAATTAGGTAACCATGCAAACATGGCCACAAAAGCATGCATTAATTGCGGTAGAGTATCACAGATTTGTGTGAGCTTACTTTACAAAATAAATGACGATGAAAATTTAACAGCACTATTTCAGCACATTTTGCACATGGTTAGACTGGATTCTGGGTGGTTAGTGAAAAAGATGCTCAAATACCACAGTACACACAAAAGTGGCACTTAGTAAATTCACCCATCAGTTGTTAAAAAAAGAAGAAAAGATCAGAATGTTGCCTGTTCTTGCAGCATCTTGCAAATCTCTTTCACTGCTACCTCCACCACCCGGAAATCATAAGAATGGGTGGGTGTGATCTAACAGCTCTTTTTATACATATGGACTTACGGTCAGCACCTGGAAAGAAAAAAAAAATGCTTGTTCATAGTGACTTTATTGCTAGAGGTCACTGTAGTTAGGTATACGTATTGCTGGGTGATTTCAGTGATGACCTGTATACATTAAGCATTCAAAGCATTTAAAAATCAAAACACAAATGAGATGTACTGACTGTAAAAAAATAACAATGAATCAGTTAAAAGTGACCATTGGTGTATTTGCTGCTCAGTTGCATAAACTTTTATCAACTGTATATCCGATGAACCTGAAACCGAATTGAACATTCATATTTGTTTCAATGATTAGGCTGCATTTTAATGTTATCCTTTAAAACAAGTCACCACCTTCACACTATTTGTAGACATGCATTATGTGTTGTCATATGATCAATCTGTCAGTTTTTATGTTGCATGCAAACAGAAGTTGATGCTTTTGTTTAGTCAGGATTTCAAACATTGTACTTGTTCTCGAACAATAGCATATTAGACGTCCTCGTTTATAGTCAGGCATACTTTAATTACCATGTCTAATGAAACAATTAAACCCCAGCAGAAGTCACAGCTTCTGATTTGTACCTTTGTGTTGCCTTGGTAACTAAAAGAGAAATATTTTGTGCTCGACATCTCTGCACTTATGCTGTTAACAGGTCTTTGTGGGTACAGGGTCTTATATAAATCTGCGTCTCCCAAGAAAATCCTGATGGATATTGATTCATTGTTGCTCTCTGACTGGCTAGTGAAATGCAGTCGTCTTTCTTCTGCATAACAAACGACGACCTCACCTTTCCTGCGCTAAAAACAAAGTGAGGCACCTAATCCATTAAAAGCATGGTAGGAAAGGCATATTTCAGACCCCAGTCTCTTGAACACATTAAAAAGGTCCTAACAGAACAGGAAATTAAAGTGTGATGAATTACAGAAAAATATGTATCGCCGCACATACTGAAGAGAGTTTAGATATGAGCGCATTAAGACAACCCGTATATGATCAACCTCCATGGAATGTTTTATTATAGATCATTGCCAAATATTGTCTGAAGTGAAGCTACATGACTATGATGTCATAAATGAAAATAATAAAAGCACACGTGAGGTTGAACCGAAAATAAAGATTAAAAAATAACAAGGGCACATCTTGACCATATTTATGGTACAGTGATTAACAAACATACAAAAAAATGGCAAAAATATTCATGAATAAGAATAAAAATGGCAAAAGATTGCGTCGATGCGACAGGGCTTACTTGCAGTCCAGGCCACTTGTATTAAGACATTAAGGTAAGAAACACACAGCGTAAATTATCTGAGCTGCATGTCCGTATCCATATTAGTCTTCTTTATTACATATTTCTTTGATTCTTCAATAAATAAAACAACTGATAACAAGGAAACCTTGGTACAATTAAGACGTTTGTCTTGTATTTCATCGACGGCTTCAAGTAGTCAAATATCCATGCTTAGACTTAGAAACATCTGCGAGAAAGATTAGACCTCTAATCTAACAATATGCTCTGCTTGTCCTTACAAAAACGTGTGTGTACTGTATATATATTTTTCGTCCTTCACATGAGTCAACAGTGTCGGATTTTTCGGCATGAAACACACTGAATAAATCAATTAAATGGTCTCTCTGTACAATAGAATTACTAAAAAAAATACAACTTAGGTTCGTATGTACATCATCTACCTAAAAAGTACAACCGCTATCATGTAATAAAATATGTAAACAAATTTCTCGTTCGACACAGTCGACTGTGACAACAGATAGGGTTTTTTTTTCACACTTTTCACATTAGATTTATTTTCATATAGACATCCTTTAACAGTATCATAGCACTGCGCCAGTCTGCACCAGACAGCTGTATAAAAAAGAGACGAGAGCAAATGGACCAACATACATACGGTTGAAAAAGTTCCAATCTGCGGCCCGTTCCCATGTCAAGTCGCTTTGAGGGACGAGAGGTCTATCTGATGATCGGATCGGCCCGGTGGGCGGATGTGATCGAAGCGAAGGATGGCATGGCATGCACTACAATCAGTCGCTTTACTGAGACAAGGAAATGTCACTGTCTTTCTGGAAACTCACACATTTGCAATATTACAGTTGGTTGTACAATTAGAATGATCAGTTTCGGCTGGAAATCATAACAGTGCTGTGCTGTCAGAGCCTCGGTGACCGGTCTTCGTTTATTACATCGTGTTTTTCTTCTTTTTGCAGAGAGCAAAAAATTATAAGACACCACATGTAATGTATATAAACAATACAAATTTCTCATATATAGGATTTATATATATATTTATATATATATTTATTCATTTATTTATTTTGTTGGCAGGAGTCCTTTTTTCGCGTGAACAACATTTTTTGGGTCCCACTTTCGGTACGGACGTCAGCACTATGTGTCTCTTACATGCTTGAAACGTTCTCCTCTTTTTTTTCTCTTTTTTTTTCACAGTTACAAAAGAAAAGAAAAATGTGTACTGTATATATTTTTCTTCCTTCACATGAGTCGACAGTGTCGGATTTTTATGCACGAAACACACTGAATAAATAATCAAATGATCTCTCTGTACAATAGAATTACTAAAAAAAATACAACTCAGGTTCGTATGTACATCATCTACCTACAAAGTACAACCGCTATCATGTAATAAAATATGTAAACAAATTTCTCGTTCGACACAGTCGACTGTGACAACAGATAGATTTCTTTTTTCACACTCTTCACATTAGATTTATTTTCGTATAGACATCCTTTAACAGTATCATAGCACTGCGCCAGTCTGCACCAGACAGCTGTATAAAAAAGAGAGAGCAAATGGACCAACATACATACGGTTGAAAAAGTTCCAATCTGCGGCCCGTTCCCATGTCAAGTCGCTTTGAGGGACGAGAGGTCTATCTGATGATCGGATCGGCCCGGTGGGCGGATGTGATCGAAGCGAAGGATGGCATGGCATGCACTACAATCAGTCGCTTTACTGAGACAAGGAAATGTCACTGTCTTTCTGGAAACTCACACATTTGCAATATTACAGTTGGTTGTACAATTAGAATGATCAGTTTCGGCTGGAAATCATAACAGTGCTGTGCTGTCAGAGCCTCGGTGACCGGTCTTCGTTTATTACATCGTGTTTTTCTTCTTTTTGCAGAGAGCAAAAAATTATAAGACACCACATGTAATGTATATAAACAATACAAATTTCTCATATATAGGATTTATATATATATTTATATATATATTTATTCATTTATTTATTTTGTTGGCAGGAGTCCTTTTTTTCGCGTGAACAACATTTTTTGGGTCCCACTTTCGGTACGGACGTCAGCACTATGTGTCTCTTACATGCTTGAAACGTTCTCCTCTTTTTTTTCTCTTTTTTTTTTCACAGTTACAAAAGAAAAGAAAAATGAGATTTACGCCAAGGTTCACATACCTCTAAAAGTCACTTAGGATTATGATGTAGCTGTGGAATATTCTACACTGATAACGTCTCCGACCAGATAGAGGAATAAGGTCACTAATGTTTGCTATTTTACCTTTGTGGTATGCTTACGGTTGTAAGTGTGCTTTATGGTACAGTTCGCGTCAGAGTTCGCCTTCTCAGCGCAGCGCCGGGGTTCGACTCCTGTCGCCCTCTCTCGGCGCAGCGCCCAACAGCTCAAAGTTCTGTCAAAGCGACGGGCGACATTCTCACACGTAGTACTCCTTGTCCTTGTTTTTCTGTTTCTTGTTGCCGCTTTTCACGCTCTGCTGCTTGTCCTTCATGACTGCTCCATTGCTCTGCGCCGAGTTGGTTATGTAATTCCTGGTCTCGTCCACTTGGTAGGATCCCTCGTCCCTGTTTCTGTACTTATACATGGCGTACAGCAGAATTAGGATGCACAAAGCGGCAGCGGCAACTATCCCGACGACCATTCCGGTGGTGCTGCTAGATTCACGGACCACCTCGGAGGCCCCCGGAACCCGCCTGATGCCCGGCTCCGTGGGGATTGCTGTGGGTACATTACGGAACATGGGGGAGGTTATTAATGGGCTCTTCAGCTTTGTGTTGTCTACCTCATAGGAAGTGGGCAATGGAAGCAAGACTATGTCGGGCTGGGGCTTTAGCTCCCTGTGATTCATTTTGCCCGCGGGCAGTTTGGGTGGCGTGGACGTGGTTGTGGAGCGGCTCAGCTTGGGGGAAAAAGACGTGGTAGTAGTCCTACCAGAATCGGAGACTTTGTTAGGTCTAAAGTCCTTGGATCCCCACTTAGGCGCGTGAGCTTTGTAGCCACCTTCAAAGGTCGACGAAGACAAGGTCTTATCTGTTACCAAGGAGAAGGTGGTGTAAAAATCTTCATCATCAGTAGGGGGCAGGTTAGAGTCGTATGCTTCCCCAGAGCCATACCCAGATATCATCAAGCCATCATCATCATCACAATCATCGCTGCCTCGGTCCGACAAGCAAGGTACCCCCGCCTCAGTGGCCATGGACAGGGACTCTTTGGTGGTCTCAATAATGGTGAGGTGGGGGCGGAGGGTTGGGGGAAAGGGGATGGAGGGTGTACGAGTGGCTACAGAGGGGAGCTCTAAGGGATCCTTTACAAGTATTGGGAAAACTAATTCGCCTCCTATAATTGAACACAGACACGAGGCAAGTTAGTCTCGAAAACTGGTTAAAAAACACTAACGGATACAAGGCAAAACGTACAAAAAAAACAAAACAAAAATAAACAAAAATAAAAGACAAAAGCAAAACAATATCGAACATAAACGACTATAAGTTGGCATCAAAAGGACTTGACAAGTCTTTGTGGGTGAGCTGGTTTGCGAGCTATCTGAAGTTGCGCGTGAATAATTAACATGGGCTAACAATAGGCCTGGGAAAATAAATTGACGCATGGCGAATTGAGAAATGATTCTGCATCGATTCTGAATTTATCGTGATTTTCTCTCTAATCGATTCGAGCTTAGTTTTTAACAGCAAATGGCACTGCATGCTTTAGAAACAGTCATACTCTGCTTGCTTCCAATTCCTTACACACACTTGAACCTAAAATAATCATTCATAAAGTTCGAAAAAGTTGTAGCGAATTACAAGGGTGTTCACAGTGGGCTGTGTTTACATTAATCTCACGTCATAAAGCGCACAAGCGCTCTTCTTCATGAGCATTTGAGTGTGTGGTTAAAAACTAAGCTCAGAATCGATTTCAGAAAGAATCGCGATGCATTCGGAAAATCTCAGAATCGATCCACGAATCGCGATGCATCGATTTATTATCACAGCCCTAGCTAACAATACTAATATAAATCACATATAATGTTAATTTCTACTAAAACATTTAAAACTTTTTAACACAAAAGTTGCGTTTGTTAGGATTAGCGCATGCATTTCAACATGAACTAGTAATAAACAATATACAAATGAACATGAATCAAGACTAATAAACGCTGTAACTTACTGAATTGCATCCTTATTGTAAAAATATTGGTTTTAAATAGTATTTTACATAATTAAAAAAGGTATGAATAATTTCCTATTGCCATGAAGTCTCATGACCTAAAAATAAATGCCAGAAGAAATAACATACAGTACATATAAGAAAATCATTATATAAGCTACGAGGTGAAGTCTCACCTTATGACGGTTTCATCTGTTTTATTAGAAGTGAAACAATGTCAACAGCTTGCATATTTTTGTAGAAAAACATCTCTCTCTATATATAAACACACGTGTGTGATGGAAGATGTGGCTCCCCAGCAGTGCACTGACTCTTGCCTTTTGAATGACCTCCTAATGGCAGCTACTGTCTCCATAATGCAATGACAGCTGAATGATTTCTCTAATTATCTATTGAATATGGTTGATTTCCGAAGGGCAAGGCTTTAATCTAACTAATAAGCAATCGCTAAATCTAATACGTAATAAGTAATAACTAAATCTAAGTAATAAGGAATACAATGAATGCTGCTTTCTGTATGTTAAAATGCTACAAGTACAGTAGCAGTAAGATGGTCAGTTCTTTGTGTAGTTGTAACGTGTTGCTATTCAGAAAGGAAGGAGTGATACTAATACTAGACGAAAAACAATTTGGTGTATCTGCCATGCAACAAAAACAAAAAGTTCCATTTCATGGACATTGAAGGTTTGTTTCTGCTTTCCACCTGCTAGGTATTCAGACTGTCATTGCAAATGAAAGATAAAACTGCCATCAGGTTTGTAGTAAGACTTGCATAAAAATAAAATTCAAAATCAAAAGAACTTAAAGAGGCAGACTTTAATAACAACAAAACTAAACCAAAGCCAATACCATAAGTTCTTAATAACTAGTCATAGCACACAATACAGTACTGACAAACAGGCAATATAAACATCAACAGTATAATTTAGCAAATCGAGATCAGAACTTCTTGATCTCATTATATTAAGAATTTAAACAAGCATAAACGGCATATATATTATAAACATAAACACATAAGCATATCATAATTTTTTGTCAACTTACATCAACAAATTGCCCGCATGATTTTGGCATGAAGAAAAAAAACGTACAAAAGAAAGTTGTGTAAGAATGTTCTTGGACAGGTTTTTTCTTTGTGAAAACAAAATGACTGTCATCGTGTTTCTGGTTAGATATATATTTTTGTTTCCCACATGAGAGAGTACAGGGAGGCAACAACACATACATCCACACCACATAACATGAAAAATAAACTTCACCATTATTCTCTTTTGTTGTTACTTTGATATATAATCCAGTTTTCTTACAAAAACTGTACATATTTGAGCCTTTGATTTACATAGCATTTTGTTGTTGTTGTTGTTAAATAAATATCTACATTCTAGTAATTAAACTTTTTGCTTAGATTGGTTTTAATCTTTAGGTTTGAGTGAATGGATGACTGTACATATTTTACCATAGCTAGAGGGGGGGAGGAAGGGGGAGGGGTTGTGACAAGGGAATTGGACCTATGAACATACTACATAGGAGATGATAATGATGGGGGTGATTGTGTAAGTCAGTTGCCATGTCCATGTATAGGCAGTACGAAGCGGTCGGGCAGCATTAACGTTTTTGGCTGTAAGGAAGGGATGGGGATATACAAACAATGAGCATATACATGCCCATCTACGAAAAAGAACAAAACTCTAACACTGACAATCTGACAAACCCTAAACTGCAACTTCTTCGCCATGCAGTTTGGAAACATTCTTAAAACGTCAATTGTTCATCAAGATCAACTCTCAAAATTTGAAAAAACAAGAAGTGTATCAAGATCTGGAACCTTTTCATTGACCATCATGTGCCTTTTTTTATTTATTTGCTT